AGTATGACATAGTGCTGAGCAATATGCCGTAGTGCTGAGCAGTATGACATACCACTCCGAAGTGTTTATTTACTTCGGTATAGATGTGATAGTTGCATGAGATAATTGTCAGGTAATTTGTACAAATGACGACTTAGGAACGATGTGTTTCGTTAGTCTATTAGACGATGTTCTACAAGCATTATTTTATTCGATAGATGATGTTCTATGATTCGCAGCACTTTCAAATGTGGCAGTTCAGTTTAAGCTGAGTAGTTTATTTCAATCTTTTTCAATATCTATGAGTAAATAAAGAAATTACTACAAGTAGATTAAATGTTTATAAACATAGAGAAATATAAACAGCAAGGAAAATGTTTGTTGGATTGATACCACGATAAATTTATTTGATCATGTTTGTTTAGCTGTTAATTGACCTCGTCGTCTTGTTGGATAAGGTGTTGTTTTCGTAGCATAAACACGACGTTGTCTTTTTTTCTTAGTAGCAGTTGTTGTTGGAGTTTGTGTTAAAGTAGGCATTTCATAATGAACTATTGAATTGGATGAAGATTGGAGAGGTATAGGAGAATTTGTAGGTTCTTGTGTTGTTTGACCAACCATTCTTAATAAAAAAAAAAAGTTATTGAAAACACATTCTAGAAGAGTGGTGTTAATTAAAGAATCGTTTTGAGCACTTACGACATTTCACGATCAACATCATTTTCTTTATGTGTACCATTTAAACTAATGCAGCTGGTTGTGTTCAATTCTTTACATTTTGATGATGAAGACGATGCTAGCGAAGTTGGTGTACACTTTGAAGATGTTGTATTTGTGATATCTATATTATTGGTTTCTTCTGTTTGACTTGTTGTTGAATCATTGATGATTGATGACGAGATTTGACGAAGATGTGATGGTGATTGAATTCTTGTTTGATAAGATTAGAAAAGAAATGAGTATAGATGAGAAAAAAATTATTTGATATTAATTAATAAACGACTCAACAAAATTCAATGAGATACAGTAGATCGGATAGAGTTGTCTGTTTGAAAAGGGTATACTGCTTACCGATCATCTTCATTAGAAAGTAATGATTGTTGAACAGTATGGCTGTCATTATTTTCAATATCTCGGGAAAAACTTCCATCATCTTGGTACTGAATAACAAAATCATCTTCATTTTTTGATTGATCACATGTTGATCTGCAAATGAAATAAACCGAAAAACTATAGTTTTTACAATATAGCTAGTGG